TTGCTCAGGGAATAGAGATGGAAGAACACGCGGAAGATATTTTAGGTCCTTGGCCCTTGAGGAATTATCTTGAGTGTTCCGGTAGGTTATTTTTTGGGGAAATGCTAACCTTGCAATTCAGGGTCTGAAAAAGTCTGTTGCTTAGGAAGACAGTGAGGCATAAATCTGCTTCCAAAATATAGCTAATATAGACATCAGCTTCTCAGCTCTTAACATCTTTTCTTATACCCCCCCCACTTCCCTAACATCAAACTAGGAGAAATGAAAAAAATCTAGTAGTTCATATTATAAGCGCAGAAGGAGGAATTTGGGTTTTCTAGGACCTAATCCCATTTCTGATTACCTGTCATGCCTTAAGCAACAAAGAGAAACTATGTTTCTTCAAAGTCTCTTTATAACCAATCTGTGTACCTCAGTATCAGGGAACAGTGGGCCAATCCTTCAGTGGCATACCCTGGTCTGGGAAGCTGCAAGAAGAGAAAAGTGAGCCCTCCAGATCTACTAACCCACCCAGGAGAATCACAGCTTGCCCATCAGATCTCCATCTAGGGTTCTTCCAAATAATATTTTGTGCATAATCTCCATTTCTTGTTTTTTTTTAAAGATTTATTTCTATTTGTGTGTGTGTGTGTGTGTGTGTGTGTGTGTGTGTGAGAGAGAGAGAGAGAGAGACAGTGTCCATGTGTCTGTGTTTATTTTTGTCACAAGTGTGCAGGAGCCTGCAAAGGCCAGAAGGGGTCCAAATCCCTGGAGCTAGAGTTTCAGACAGTTGTGAACCACTAGACTTAGGTGCTAGGAATCAAATTCAGGGCCTCTGGAAAAGCAGCAAGTGCTTTTCATGGCTGAACCATCTTTCCAGCACCATACATCTTTTTGTTTTATTATTTTTATTAATTCTATAAGAATTTTATACAATGTATTTTGATCATATTGCCCTTCCCTAAACTGCTCTCAGAACTGCCCACAGCTCCTTACCCAACTAAAGTCGTGTTCTTTTTAATTTAACTCATCAAGTCCAGTGTGTGTTACCCAAATACCCTTGGATGTAAAACCTGCCCTGGAACATAGTTGACCCTTAAAGAAAACTAACTCTTCTTCTCCCAGAAACTCTCAAATGCCAACATCTCCTCAGCTAGAGATGGGGTTTGGTCCCCACCTTCCCTACTCTCTGCCAGGATTTTATCTGACTAGACCTTGCATAGGTCATGCTGTCACAATTACTGTGGGTTCATATGTGCAACTCCCTAGAAAATACCATTTCTGTGTGGTCATCCAGCACCTCTCTGGCCTTTGCAATCTTTTTGCCCCCTCTTCTATGAAGATCCCTGAGCTTTGGAGGGAGCGGAGATATATATATATCTCATTATCCCATTTAGGGCCGAACACTCAGCAGTCTCTTATTCTCTACACATATACCAGTTGTGGGTTTCTGTGTTAATTGCCTTGTACTGCAAGAATTAGCATCTCTGACTAAAGCTAAGAGATGCACTAATATATAGATGTAGCAAGAAGTTATTAAAAGTCATTTTAATACTATGTTTGTTTAGTAGAACATTAGTAGTAAATTTTCCCCTGTGGCCTCTGACTTATCTAGCCTCAGGTTCTTGGTCCCAGTAACAGTGTGTCTGTGTCTGTGTCTGTGTGTATCTATGTCTGTGTCTGTGTGTCTATGTGTCTATCACGTGCGTGCAGGAGCCTGCAAAGGCCAGAAGAGGGGTTCGAATCCCTGGAGCTAGAGTTTCAGACAGCTGTGAGCCTTGTATTTGTTCCATCTTGTGGATCAGGCCTTAAGTCTAATGAGATGATGGTTGTTTACCCCCATGATGTTCATGCCACCATTTCACTAGTGGCAGGTGCATGATATCTTGCCAGGGCCATCATTATTGTAGCTCAGTGAGTTCACAGCTCAGTAAGGCTGATGATTACTTTTCTCCTCCATTGGACTGAGAACACCTTGGAGCACTGTGAAGGCTAGCCAGTAGGAATGAAACTTCTAGGTCAGTGCCATTTGATTTCTCCGTGTGACTCAAGTACATGCTATGTTCAGCAATAGGGTCTTACCATCAAGTTATGGAGGGTAACCAAGGGCAATAACAATAGTCTATAATGTTTGGGGGTCTATCTACAAGATCCCACTACCCAACAACTCAAGGAGGGATAACCCATTCCCGGTATTGGGACTTTTTTTTGCTAGGATGATGTGTCCTGTTGGAGTATTGTCCTCTTGTTAGACAGTAACATCATTTAAACTCTCTATATATACATACATATGAGAGCTCATATAGTAGTAGGTTTCCATATTTTTTTCCAAGAATGTTTAGTGTTGGTTATCCCTCTCCATATTCCCTCCTCTACCCCACCCTCCCAGCCCCCACCCCATTTAATCCTTCCTGTTCCATTATTTCCCTTTTCTCCTCTAAATAACTCTATTCTATATTCCTTCCTTTGAAAGGCCCTTTCCTCCCCTGTGATACCTTGCTCGTTTCCTAATCTCTATGGGTATTCCAAATGAAACACGCATATCTTTTTCTTAATTGCTCACAGGTCACTGATAGCCTTTCTGAATCCTTTTTTTATAAGTTTTCTCCCTACTGTTAGTGACATTTATCAGATGAAGAATTTTAGATTTTAGAGTATTCCTTTATCCACCTAATGCTTCATTTTACTTCCCTCTTTGTCTGTTCTATTTAAAGATCATTCTTCTTCCTGGACTTTTCATAAGAAACTAAAACCCAAAATAACAGTGACTTTCATTTTGACCCTGCTCTCTAGCCTGTAGCTTGCATTTGTAAGCCATCTCAAGGAAGACAAGGTGATCTACCTGCATATTCAATACCTCCATGTCTGACAGTATACTTGGTGCATTCCATCAATGTTTTACTGAATGGAGCTAGGTATTCTGTCTCCAAATGTGCCAAATATCTCCTGTAGCATCCCCAGTGGGTCACCCATCTGTGGTGGGAATGGATAGGACCTGTGGTCTGCTCCTAACTAAGAGAAAGTAGCACCAGCTTCAAGACATTGCCTTATGTTGCCTTACACGGGTTTTTCAAATGTAATTAAGGTTGCCAATCATTGACTTTGAGTTAATCAAGAAGCATTTTGCCCTAAGTATACCTCACCAAATATACTGATGGGGGCTTTAGTACTTCTTAAAACTCAGACTTGGGTCAGCAAAGGAACTCACTCCTCAAGGCCCTGAAAATAAATAAATAAATAAATAAATAAATAAATAAATAAATACCACCATGTGCTCTACAGCTGCATTTTTTTTTAAAAAAGAATGTTTTCCATATCCACATCCACATGTGTTTCAAAGGGGAGACAATATTGGATAAGATCACCAAACTAGCCAAGGCATTGATTACAGCTTTGTAAGATACCAAGCAGAGGGCCCAGCTAAGCCATGAAAACTGTGAGATAATAAATGGGTGTTTCAAGTCTGGCTTTTTATGTAACTTCACAGAAAGCTGTTCTCATTGAAAACTAATACACTAAACATGGACATAAAAATGTCTTTTTTAGTTATTCTCCTAAATACTTTGCAAGTCTTGGTTATTTTTGCCATCTTCTTCCTGATGTCATTTTTGTGTGTGTGTGATTTTACTGCTGTGAATATTTTGCTCCCTTTTCTGGAACGATTTATAAGATTTAAATAGTTGTGCTCATTGAGGAAGTGCCTGACAGACCACTCATGTTGGAGAGGTATCGATTCCTTTGTCCCTAGCCCCTTTCTTCCTTCCTAAAAGCAAAGGCAGTGTGACTCAGGTCGAGAGTAATCTTTAAAATCTTTGTCTCTTTCCAACCCCTCTTGCATCTGTAGTCTCTTGTCTAGGATCAGGAAGTCTTCTTTGAAATTTAAGAAGCTCTAAAGCCTATGGTTGTTGTTATGTGTAGGCAGAAATACAGAGCATTAGAGTGCCTGTTATTCCTTTATAGGGGTCAACATTTCCTAAAGCCCCTTGTAAGGCTAGGAGGATAGCATAGTCAGTAAAAGGGTTGCCTTGCAAACATGAGGACCTGAGTTCAACACCTACAACCCATGTAAAAGTAGAAGTAGATGTGGTGACATGTGCTTATAATCTCAGCACTGAGGAAGCAGTGACAGGTAGTTCAATAAGACCCACTGGCCAATCATTCTTGCCTACAAGACAAGTTCTAGGCCAGTGAGAGGTTCTGTCTCAAAACAGAAATGATGGATGATGCTTGAGGAATGATACCCAAGGTTGGCTTTGACCACTATGTGTATGCGCACACACACACACATGTGCTCCTGCATGTACAGGAAAACACACACATACACCTCCTTGAAAACATAATTATAACTTCTCAATAGTATCTTACAATGGAGAGTAAAACATTCGGATATTGCTTCTAAAAATCTCCTTGATTTACTGATAAGAAACAAAGGTCATTAGAGGTCAAAAATGTGTCTCTAGGTGGCACGTCTAGTAAGTAATGTAAGTAACTTGATAAAGAACCACCAACCCCAGACACCTCTCCATATTACAGACTCTAGCAAGAGCCTTGAACTCACCCTTGGAGATGGAGTGTTTCTCAGAGGAAGTGATTACCTTGGAGGAATCTTAAAAGACAAGAAGAAAGTAAGTATAATCAAGGAAGAAAAGTAGGCATAACCCAGAATAAGAGATGAAAGGGGCCATTGTGAAGGAGACAATTAAGGAAGTCCATTTGATGGACAGAAAGATGTGTGAGATATGGCACGAATCAGAGACAAAGAGGCAGGCCCAAGATGTGCCATGGTTGACAATACATGACATGACAGATAGGTTGAATTTCACAGTGGTGGGGTTGGAAGTCACTGAGGAAGCCTGTATGAAAGGTGAAAAGATCAAACTTGAAATGAAATTCTATTTAAAATGCTTTTGCACTAATTGGTCTCCTTGAACTGAGGAAGTCTATGACCAAGGAAATATTAGAAAAATGGGTTCATAGCAGTTCAGAGTCACACAGGACACTGTTACTCCTGCTCAATCAGAATGACCATCATGACTGTGTTACCTCTGGGACACCTGTTGAATCCTTCCACCATTTATAGCCCTGAGAATTCAGTAGTCCTTAATAACTAGTTGGAGAATGGGTGGATGCCTGTCTGCTTGTTTGAGCTTATGGCAGTGTTGTTTACTTGGGCTGTTTCCTACAGTATCCCAAAATGTCCCTTGGAGACAATGAGAGATAAAACAGAGGAATGTGAGGTGTGGGTCATACACTTGAGCACCACACTGTAAATAGTGCCACCCAACACCTGTATGTAGGGATGCCATAATCCTCTGAGTTCTATATGTGATTGTTTTGAAAACAACCTGTGAACAATATGTTGAAATGGAGCTCTAAAAACAAATAAAGATTCTCCAACCAAGTAGCAAAATAAAACATTTACAGTAAAAAGCTATGTAATTGAAAAGATTGTGTTTCTATTATACATATTGATATTAAAAATAACTAAGAGTGAAAATACAAGAAAGCTCCTCCATGAATTCAACCAAGAAGAAAGATGACCATTAGAAACATGACTAGAGAGATGGCTTAGAAGGGAGTGTCACTTACTGTGCAAGCATGAGGACCCGAGTTCAGATCCAAGCTCCTACATAAAAAGTTGGGCATAGTTGTGTGTCTGTAACCCCAGCATTGTGGAGAGCAGAGATACCAGGTTCACTGCAGCTTGCTGGATGCCAGCCTAGCTCCGGGTTCAGTGACAGACCCTGTCTCAAAGTAATAGGGTGGAGAGTGATAGAGAAGAACACACATTCTCCCCTCCCTCCACACATGTGTCAAAGTGTATGCACCTGCACACATGTGCATATACTACAAAAAAAAACACATGCACATTCCACTGAAGCCAAATGATTTTATAACTATTATCATGGCACATGTTCATTGTAGACTTGACTTTTCCTCAGGATTCTTGTATATCTCTGTCTCTCCTATGAGCTATAAGATATTTCACTGAACTGTGTCATACAGACATATTAAATTTAGTCTTCTAAAACTGACTGTATGCTCTCCCTATTGGTCTTCTTATAATCTTTGGTATAACTGAGCATATCACTTGCATTGCTGTCACCCCACCAGGAACTAGTTAGTCCTCCCAATATTGCAAAACTAGCCCCCAGTCCTGCCGACTTTGACCTCTATGGATTTTACATTTCTATTGCCTTTCTTACTTTTCATGGTCCCTGCCTTAGATCAGGCTCTTAACACCCTCACCTAGGTTTTCTTCTTAGTCAATTAGGTGATCTTTGTGAACACAGTTGTTCTCTTACTAGTTATCCACCACCATCACCAGAAATGACCTTTAAGATTGCATATTTTGAATTTATGTGGAGGTCGGAGTGAATGCAGGTGTGAGTGTGTCCAGCATTGCCAAAGTGTTTGAGTCCAGTTTGGCCTGGCCTTAACCATTGCAGGAGGTGTGGTGAGCTCTGCCTTGTATAATGTGGATGCTTGGTACAGAGCTATCATCTTTGACTGATTCCGTGAGGTACAAGGACATCGTGGTAGGGGAAGGGACTCACTTTCTCATTGGGTACAGAAACCAATTATCTTTGACTGATGCTCTCGACCACAGAATGTACCAGTTATCACTGGTAGCAAAAATTTGCAGAATGTCAACATCGCATTATGCATCCTTTTCTGGCCCATTGCAAGCCAGCTCCCTCAGATCTACACCAGCATTGGACAGGGCTATGATGAGCAGGTACTGCTGTTCTATCACAGTGGAGATCCTCAAGTTAGTGGTGGCTTGCTTTGATGCTGGAAAACTCATCACCCAAAGAGAGCTAGCGTCCAGACAGGTGAGCGGAGAGCAGCAACCCTTGGGGTCATCCTGGAAGACATTTCCCTGACACATCTGACCTTCGGGAAGGAGTTCACAGAAGTGGTGGAAGCCAAGCAGGTGGCTCAGCAGGAAGCAGAGAGGATGAGATTTGTGGTGGAAAAGACTGAGCCGCAGAAGAAGGCAGCTGAGAGTGACTCCAAAACAGCTGAGCTGATCGCCAAACCCCTGGCCACCACGGGCGATGGCTTGATTGAGCTGCACCAGCTGGAAGCTGCCGAGGACATAGCCTACCAACTCTCACACTCTTGGAGCATCACCTATCTGCCAGCCTGGCAGTCTGTCCTCCTACAACTGCCCATGTGAGGCCTGCCCTACCTGTACCCCCTCAGGTCAGCAGGGCCACAGCCCCGATCATTCTGATCACCATCTTCTTTCTGCCCCCACCCCATAAATCACTGTGAAATTTCATGATTGGCTTAAAGTGAAGGAAATAAAAGCAAAATCACTTCAGAGTCCTAATTATCAAATGAAACTTGTTTCATTGTTCTACTTTTTTCACCCAGTTCTCCACCCAGAATTGCCAAGTGCCTATGCCAACTGACTGAGTTCTTCGGGGCATTCTTATATTTTACCCTAGGCCCTGGCAACCAGCAAAAGGAAGGCAGGACAGTTGTGTAACGTATGGGACTGCAGCTGGCAGTACATGTAGATCTGGAGCCAGCATCTGTCATTTACTGAAGATTTGAGGACAGCAGCATGCACAGCTGGATCAACAAGGCAGCCCTTGTTTTTCTCAGCCATCTAAATTTACACAGATGCAGCTGGGAGGGTCAGAGAGGAAGTGGTCTATCTTAGCCATAAGGCCCATTCCTTCTAAGTGTGACCGGCAGAAGCAGGTGTGTGCAAGCCAGGTATAGAGTGAAGAATCTCCCTGTCAAGGTGGGTAGGCCAATTTTGCTGCCCTCCCCAGGGTCCCTAAACTGGAATGGACTTGGATAGTACCAGAGGCCTGGACTAAGATGTAAGCCCTGTTGAAGACTTCTTCTCTACTCCCTACTTTGGTGCCTCTCAAATACTCAACGGGATTCCAACTTGAAGGATTGCATCCTGCTGGGGCTGTGTACACCTGCCAAGGACTTGTGCATCATGTCTTCCCATTCCCTCACTCAGAGACTGCCCTTTTGAAGGTTGAATATGAGTCCCTGAATGATATAATGTTGGGAAAAAAGCAAACATGTCAACTGCTGTCGATAAAGGATACCCACACCTTCAAAAAAAGAATGCATATTTGCTCATTAAAAACAGTCAGCCACTTGATCATTGTATGTGAATAACCATTTGTCTGTTTTTTTTTTCCAGCATAGTTATCAAATAGTTCCTTCACTATGAAAGAAAAAAAAAAACTTTAATCTTTGGTTATACTTCCCTTTTGGGTGTTTAAGGCCATACAGTTGGCCCAGATAAACCAATTTATTTTTACTCTTAAGGCCATTTGAGGATCTGTTCATCAGGGGTCACATGGTCTTGGGAGGAGCCCCTTACTCTTTTAATAGTTCTGTCTATGTGAAGATAAGTCAAAGGTCCTACTTGACCATGGCTAGCTTCATTGGAAGCATGGAGGAAATGTTTCCTCTGTGTTGGCCCTCCTCTTTGTAGACAACATCTAAGTGTTATTAGCAAAAACAATGAGTCTTTCTGTAAGAAACAGTATACTTTTAAATGAAATGGAGATCTTTTTATAAAAATTCATTCAAGTTTATGTCTTACAGGGTTCAATATTATATAACTATTAATTCAACTGTGAACCTAAAAATTTTAAAGCCACTTTTGAAAGAGATGTATCTTTGCTCTGGAAATTGTTATTGAATATGTTAAAGCTGTAATGAAATGTTTCTTCTAAAAAATAAAAAAGAAATAAAAAAAACCCTACCTCATATCATAGATCAAAATAAATGCTTTTATTTTTTTTTAAATCCCTTAACTTAGAAAATAATTAGGCAACTTTGTTAATGACATTCTTCATAATCTATTTTCCACTTACTAGGCTATTATCTAACTGGTGAATAAGTTTTCATGATACCAGGGACTGCTTATTCTCTGGCCACTGATCATATTATTCTTGAACTTTCTCTGACCTTGTCTGCTGTTCTTTTAATGTACATGGATATCTTGTAGTCCCTGTGATAGCAGCAAAAAGGCAGAGAACAGCCACAGTAATCTTGCAACCCTAGAACCCTATGAAGACCCCTATAAGGTAACAGAAGACAAGATGTGACCATGCATCTTAGAGCCATTGTCAAACCTTGCTTTGGCAGCAGTTCAAACACTGTATTTCCCTAGCCTATCAAATTAATCATATATTTCTATTTTAAAGTAAATGATTGAAATATATTCTATAAATAGTGCTTATGTTTTCACATGCACTAACACTAAAAACTAATCTGATTTTATTCACTTGATAGTATCTATTAACTGATATTAATAATAATAAAATAATGACAAGAATTAGTATTCAAAACAAATTTAAGGGGGCTGGAGAGATAGCTTAATGGTTAAGAAAGCATGCTGCTTTTGTAGAGAATCTGAGCTGGGTTCCTAGCACTCATGTCAGAATGCTCACAACAACCTATAACTTCAGCTCCAGGCTCATCTTGTGCCTCTGTCATCCTCAAGGACCTGCACTCACATACACATAACCACTCCAACACACACACACACACACACACACACACACACACAATTAAAAATAAATCTGAAAACAATCTTTAGTAAATAAAATGATCTATTTAGTAATGAAATAAAAATCCATTTGCTGTAAGAATTATCTGTCTTTATTAAGGCCAAACATTGTATTTTTACTATGCTCTATGAGGTATCTTACATGCTGTTAACACTCCATGCAGCTCCAACCAGGAGTGATAATTAGGCTTCTTCATTCTGCTCATTAGCCAGAACTAAGGGTGTACATGCTAGTGAAATACAGTGACTGTTCCCATTTGCATAGTTGTACTCCTGACAAATCAAAAGCATACTATGTAATATTGGTCAAATAAAGTTTCACATTAAGTTCACAGGGAAAGGAAACAATTCTTAGGTAAAAATTAAAAGCCACAAGCTTTTGACCTCAAACCATAGTGAAAACATACACCATATTAAACAAGGTCACTTGAATATGTGAGCCAACCAGCAGCACTGGCTGTAACTTGGAAAGAGGAAAGGGCAGCCAAAATTTCTTCCCGCTGGATGGTGTTTGGTCTGGGTGTTACAAGAGAGTGCCGTATTCCAACACCATACAATTATTCCTTTGCCTGATTTATTGGATCCAGCTGAAAACACTTTTTAGTGCATTTGAAATGGGATACGTACTTATGGGGAAAAACGTGCATAGGAAGTGATGGGATTCCACATGAAGGGATGTGAAAGGAAGCCTGCCCTATGAGAAACAGTGACAGTCATGTGCCATTCTTCTGATGTCTATAAAAGAATGTTGAAATTATTTTGAGATACGAAAGGATAAATAATATCGAGATCTTGTTCAGTAAGTTGGATAGTTATGGTTCAGCTCTATTGAATAAGAGTAATTAATTCTTTAAGGATTTGGGGTAAAAAATATTTTTGTTGGTGTATTGGGTAGAAACAATAATTCTAAAATACCAAAGAGAGAGTTAATTGTCCAATCACTGTAATAAAGGAAAGTTTTTTAAGCAAGCATGTAATTTAAGCTTTTATGAGAAAATTGTCTGTGCTATATAAATTCAGCCTCTAGCTATGACTTCTCTAATGCAAGAGGATTTAGAGGACACTGTAATGTGATGGGGCAAATTTAAACTAGTGTCTCTCTTAATAGAAGCAAAAATGTGAGAAAAAGCCATATTGGAAATCCTGAGGGAAGGTTGTAGCCAACCTACATTGCCTAAAATCTGTGGAAGAAAATATGTTATCTTTTGGGGGAACAGACAATTGTAATTTATGAAACTTAATAAAAAGATTGCTAACCATATATCCAAGACAGTTGTTAGGATATATGGTTTAGCAGAATTTCATCTGGGGCTAATTCTAAGTAAAAGATTTTTAAGGAAGTTTGCAAATCTTTGAAAACAATTAGATTTTTATCTTTAAAATATGATAAAATACATCATTTGTATCATAAAATATATAAATATTAATAAATTTTTCCTAGCCTGGTGTTGTGGCACACACTTTTAACCTCAAAACTCATTAGGTGAAGGTAGGAAGATCACTGTAAGATTGAGACCAGCCTGGAGCTAGTTCCAAGCAAGCTGGAGCTACAGGAAAATACCGTCTCAAAACAACAGCAAAATAATGTTAGAATAAAATTTTCTTATTAATGTATATTACCTTATTCACCTAATATTGACCAAAAGTGAGGCTACAGATCATGTGTTGAGGAAAACATTTCCATTTAAAAACTAGAAATGGGAGCGGGGCATAGTGGTGCACACCTGCAGTGTGAGTACTTGGGAGGCAGAGGCAGGTGGATCTCTGTGAGTTGAAGGCCAGCCTGTTCTACATAGTGAGTTCCAGGACAGCTGGGGCTACAAGAAGACGCTGTCTCAAAAACAAACAAACAACAAAAAAAGACCAAAAAAAAATAGGGACTGGAGAGATGGCTTAGTGGTTTAGAGCACTGACTGCTCTTGCATTCCCAGCACCCACATGGAGGCTACGAACTGTCCTTAACTCCCGTTGCAGGGGAATCTGAAGCTTTCTTCTGACCATTGTGGCATTGCATGACATGAGTGTGCTCACGTATATGCAAGCAATATACTCATACACGTAAAATAAAGATGATAAATAAAATATCTAAAAACTAGAAATAGGTGCCTAATTATTAAAAGTAATCATGGGACTAGAAAATTATTAGAAAAGCAATCTTTTTAAATAGGTAGCAATAATATGGCAGTTTTGAGGGACTATGGCAGGAGAGCAAACTTCAGGTATAGTTACTAAATACCCAGAAGATTGGTTGCATCAGTCTGGTACTTTTAAGTATTGTGCATTATTTAACTATAACTAAACGCTCTTAAATAAACCTTGACAAGACATATATTTTTTAAGCCAAAAATTGTAAGTTAGAAAGATTAGATCAGTACCTTTACTGACTTAAGTAAAGGATCAAATGAACTTTGACTAGAAATTTTAGGGTTATGTATCTCATCTTTTATGTTTCTAAAGTAACTTATTCAAACCTTCATAACATATATCAGGGCTTTTAGTTCTTTCCTTTCTGGAAACATCCCATCATCTTATCTTCATATATAAATCCTTCTTTACTAAAAACATTTCCATTCTTACAGGTTTCTAATATTTTCTCTTAATTACTGATTATCTTAATACCATGA